AAGAAGCAGGAGCAGACTGCCAGCACGCCTGCACAGCCCTGCCCCAGCCCTGCCAGGGCCCTGCCAAGGTGTGCATGCACATGCACATGCATGTGTGGTGTGTGTGCACATGTGTGTGCAAGGGGTGGGCGGAGCCTGCTAGCTATTTGAACAGAGCTCCCCAGTTACTGGCCACATGACATGGGTGGGACAGGTCGCTCTGTGCTCCAGCCCTTCAACTGAAAAAAGCAAGCTGTTGGAAGGAACCCCATTATGATGTCCCCAAACTGCCCACTCCCAGGACTTGCATTCCCTATTAGTGGGTTGCGTGTCCACACCGCTCACCCATCGCAGTTCTTCCAGGAGCTGGAAGCAGCCTGGGGATGCTGGGAGCAAATGCATCCTTGCTTGTCTCAACCAGACACTGTGACTGGAGGGTGAAGAAATCCTACTGGGTCTCTGTCTTCATGGACAGTGAGACTGCAGGCCAGCGATAGGGAGAGGCACAGCCCAAAATGCCAGCCTCAGATGTGCAGTCCAGCCCCAGTGGTACCCAAATGGATATACTGGCTCAGGCTCCTCCTGATTAGGGACTGATGGCCGGGCTCCGGAACTTAGGTAGGAGTCCACTAGCAAGAGAAGTGAGGCCAGGGCAGCATGGGCCAAGGCGCTGTGGCTGAAAAGGGGAGCCCCAAGAGGCTGGAATACAGGCGTTGCAGGCAGCAGCTGGAAGCAGAGGCCACGCACCACACAGAGCTGCTGGAGTATCAACTTGGTGGCTTGGGGGCCACCCAGGATGGGTGGCACACACTCTGGATGTGTGTGAGTGGGTGGCAGAGGTATGACCTTGGGGTCTATGTTTGGTCCCTCACACCTTTCTCTCTGGCTGTCTCCTGGCCACTGTGAACTAAGTATCTTTGCTCTAGGATGCTGCCCTGAAACCAGCTAACTATGGACTGAGTCTCCAGCAACCGTGAGCCAAATGAAACCTCTCCTCCTCTGAATTATGAGTTGGGTAATATGTGCCAGCAACAAGACAGCCAACACGGCATTCCACTCTTCAGACCATGTAATACAACGAGCTTTACTGGCAGACTCACTCTAGCTGTGGCCTGGGCACCCCAGAGGGTGGGGGTGGTACAGCGGGCCTGCTGGGGAGTTAGTGCAGTGAGTGGTCCAGGTGCGGGAGCTGACGGCCACCTGGATGGAGCCATGGCTTTGGGAGACCAAGGCACACAGTAGCCCTGACAGCCAACAATACAGGTGAGGGGGAAAGAGGTGAGGCTGCCCCTGCATGTGCTGCTGGCTGGAAGCAAGATCTTCAACAAGAACAGACAAACCTGCAGGATTTGTGCAGTGTGGGGGCCTCCCCATTGGTCATTTCCTTTTTCCATATCTCATTATCTTGCAGATGAGGAAACTGAGGCTGGCTCTACAGGAGCCCCTGAGGCTTGCCCCCATCTCTGGATCTGCCCACAGCCTCCTACCCAGCAGAGCAAGCTCAAAAGACCCCTCCAAGGCAAGAGGCACACATCTGGCCCCTGAGGTAGAGCCTGGCTTTCTCAGGAGACGGGATGAGTAATTTTGATAATTGAATTTTTGAGTTAGACTTAAAATACAGCCAAGATTGAAGAGGCAATTCAGCAGAGCTGGGCTCCCCCAGGCAGGTTTCTCTGCTTCCACAAAGCCGAGAACTTATTAACAAGATCACTCTTCTCCATCCACGGGCCATTTACAAGCAGTTCTCAGGCTTGTGTGTGTAGGAATTCAATTGTAGGTCTCTGCGCCCCTGCTCTGGTCACATGGAAACAGGATATCAAAGGGGCAGGGTGAGGACTCTGGCTGGGAATGCAGAGAAAGGCTGCAGCTTTTCAGACAGCACCAGGGAGGGGACGGGGTGACTCAGGCGCAGGATAATCTGGACAACAGGTTCTGACAGGCTCAGGTTCAAATCCTGCTCTACTGCTTAATATGCTCTTTTGTGAAATGAGTAATGGGTGCAGATTAATGAAATGATGCAGGGGTGCAGAACGGTGCCACCAGAGGGCCACAGGTCTCGTCTTCCATCTCGTGATAGGCAGTGGGCAGGCAGGCCCAACGCGAGGCAAGCAGAGGCCTGGCCTGGCACCTTCCCCTCCCCCTGCTCGTTCCATGTACAGATGCTGCACCTGTGCCCCTCAGGTGTGGCTGCTCAGGCACACGTGATTACTTTCACTGATGGGAAATTGACGCATTTTCTGATTAGAGCTTCAGAGCCTCTTGAATTCAGTGGCTGGTAAAATTAACTCACCAGGGACAATGGAGCTCTTTCCAAATTGTCCTTATTTGCAGTTTGTTCTTGGCTCTGATCCAGCCCAAACAAACCAGGCTGCTCCTCCACCTCCCGGAAGGAGGGCGGGCCTCCACTAGACCAACGTTGGGAATGGCTTAAAATGAAGATAAAAAATGTATTTGTTTTGGATCACTGTGTTCTTGAAAAGCTGTGGCTGACATGAAGTGAATGGGCCGCCGGGCTCCCAGAGGCCCTGGACCCAGACAAGCCTAGGTTTAGCAACCAGGCTGCCCTGGATGTATCAGGGGCCCCTCCCTCACCACCGCCCACAGCCATTGGCAGTGGCCATGTCCAGCTCCCCCGCGCTGCGCTCTCCTCAGGTAGAAGTGAGGCAGCCGTGTCCCCTGCAGGTACAGCGGCACCAGGCCTGACTAAACCTAGCCTGAGTGCCCATCATTATGTGAACACCCACAGGGCACGCACACACGTGCAGGGACTCCAAAAAGCATTATGAAATATGCTCAAAACCAGCACCAGAGACAGTGAAGACAAGTCCCTGATTTTCAGCAAGTCTTACTGTGCAGCTCCTGCCAAATGCTGAAGCTCACGGCTATCACCAGGATCAGGCAGACAGGTGACTCCCTTTTGCCAGATGCAGAGACTAAGGACAGAAACATGAAACCCAGGCCTGGAATCTGGACTTCCAGCAGACCCTTCCTCTCGGGAGGTCCATGGCAAGACTTCTGGAAAGGGAATTCCACACGTGACGTGGGCCTGAAGCTGAGTTTTCACACACAGGCAAGTATGAAAATGAGGTGCAGCTGCTCAAGAAGAAAGCAGGCCACAGGAAGCCAAGCAGGAAGCGCCTCCTGCCACCTGCCCAGCCCTGCCTGGATGGACGGTGGAGGTGGGAACAGAGTGCCTGGGAAGTGCCTGTCCCAGACGCCTCTACATTCTGCTCCTTCTGTCTCCAGCCAAGCAATTGTCACTTCCGAGGCATAGAAGGACAGAAGGGATGGAGGTCCTGTTCCACCATCACAGGCTAAGTAAGGTCTGAACCTTCCTGTGTAGGCAGAGAGATCTTGAGGACCTTCACAACCCTCCTGGGGCTCTGGGGCTCCAGCACAGGGATGGCGAGGATGCCTGTGAGTCACATGGACCAGGCAAACGGAAGGCGGGGCCTCCTGTGGTCAACTCTCCCCCAGAGCTTGGTCCCATGCACTCAGCTCTGTGTACGGAGTGCCTGGGGTGACACTCAGTGTAAACAAGGTATTTCCAGGAGTTTGGGAAGGCACACACACGGGGAGTGCCAGACTTGGGATGGGAGGAGCATGTGATCCAGCATCTCAAAGGGCCATTCCAAGCTGGCTGGAAAAAGAAAGGGCAGGAGCTATTTCCAGGAGGGAGCACCTGGGCCAAGGCCAGGAAGGACAGCGAGGCCATCTGAGCTGGGGACAGTTCAGCTGACCTGGAGCTAGCTGGAGTGCAAGGTCACATGAGGAGACAGAGGGGCCAGAGTGGGGTCCTTGTACATCCTGCCAGGGGCTCACAGGTGGACCAGGGGTAGAGGACAGCATCACTGTGGGGGAGACAGCTGTACCCTGGGAAGGTGCAGGGTTTTCCTCAGCACTTTGGCTGCTGCAGGGCTGAGGCAAGAACTGAGGATGGAAAGCAAACCTCACAAAACTGAAGACAAGAAAGGCGCCTAGGGACAGAGATGAGGGTCTCGGGCTAGAAGGGCGGGAGGCTGGGGCCAGAGGCAGAAAATGTGTCCACTGGACTTCAGAAGGGAAGCGAATGAGGAGTCATCCAAACAGATGTTCACGTCCCAGAGCAATGAAAGGAACAGGGATAGAGAGGGAGACTGAGTCAGGGCCCTGTGGGCTCCTCAACCAAAGCCATCAGCTGGCATCTGCTGGCTGGCTCTTTGACAGCCAGCAGCAGGTCTGGGACCAAAAGGCCAGGCTAGCATGGCGTGGACACAAGGCTCGGCTGGGGAGCCTGTCTGCTGCTGCAGACCTGCGACCCAACTTGAGGCTCATCTGGGAGTGGGGTTCAGCCCTGCTTTCTTTACTTTTCAGGGACACGGTGCAGCTTGCAGCACAGATTAAGGCTTGCCAGGTGCGAAGGCCACTGCCACACTGCGGCAAGTACACCAGCAGCAATGCAGACAGTGGGGGCGTGGGTGCCAACAGTACTGGACAGCACAAAGGTCAAAGCCCAGCCCAGGCTCACGGGTCTCCTCTCTCATCAGGGACAGGGCCACCTCAGAGGGCTGCTCTGCGGGATGACAGGGCACAGACAGCACACAGAGCCCCTCCTGGACACCTCCACGTGAGCTCAGCAGTGAGTTGCAGGCAAGACACGAGGGCTGCAGGCTCCTGAGACCCTGGTGTGTCACACATTAAAGTTTTGAGCTCTAAGATGCCACACAACCCCCAAATCATGCTACCGAAGTGAAAGGTAGAAGAGAAGCTTCCCACATGGTGCTGGCCGAGAGCTGGGAAAACCAGGGAGCCATGAAGCCTCTGACATTCCTGGCCCAGATCCAGTGCAGCACCCCAGAGCGCACGCGCAGTACAGCACCCCAGCACAGGGCCTTCCCTACCCCTGGATCCTCAGCCTTTGCACCCTGGGGACAAGCACCCCTCAGCTAATTCAAGACAAAACACTGAGGGAAGGCAGATGTCCCTGGGCCAAGCAGCCCTCCTGCCTCTACCACCAGGAGCACAAAGGAAACAGACACAGCGTGATGTCCGGCCACGAGCTTTATTGGCTGGCAGCTGTCCTCAGGAGCCGGGTCTGCTAGGACTGGATGTCCCTGGATGGGCCCCCCCAGGCCTAAGCTAGGAAAAAGGAGGGAAAGAAAGGAGAATTTTAAGTCAGTTAGAAGGTTTCTCAAGTGAGCTTCCCACAGAGTTAAAAGGCCAGATGTTATTCTGAAACATCCAGTGTGATCAGCAGGTGTTTACATAACACAATGACAATGAGACCAGCTGGGTCCACTCCCTGCAGGAAGATTTAACAAATGCCTACTACGTGCCAGGCACTGTTTGCTGCATGTCTCACTAGTAAAAACAAATCTAAAAGTTATAGGAGAGCCACTCGTGACTGCTATGATACAACAGAGAGGAGCGGGTGAAGAGGAAAGGAAAAGGGATTTAAAACAAACAAACAAAAAAAAGAATAGCAAGAAAAGAGTGGAAATAAAGTTTTAATAAATGGAGAGGGAAAGAAAAGTTAAAAGAGGGCAGGGGAAAGGGGAGAAAAGAAGCACTGATCCATATTAGGTATAGGTACAGAATCGCTACGATGAATATGGTTGTTACATACATCAAAAACGTACCAATAAAATTAATTTTAAAATAAGGAGCTTTTCATGCTACCCTGGCAGAATAATACAACTGGGTGTGGTGGATGTGTCCACTGGTCCCACTGTCAACTTCAGGTTTCAAAGGAAGCCCTGCCCCGGACGTGCCCTACCCACCGGTGCCCTTCAGAGACAGGCCCCAGGGCCTTACCTCCAGGTTTCCTCTGGCCTTGCGCAGCACACTGTGGGTGATGAGCACTAGGAAGAAGCAGAGGGTGTATGATAAGGCTCTGTAGTCAGGAGCACGGGTGAAGCTGGGTGCGGCGAGGAAGAGCCCCCAGCCGGGGGTCCAGCTACAGGGACACAGCACCAGATGGAAGCCCAGGGCCTCCCCTGTGCCTCACGGTGCCATCGCCAAAGGGTGTATCTAGAGAGCAGAGCATGATGCCTCCTCACATCCTTACTAGGCCACAGCCCCTCAGGGATGCAGGGGGAAGGGCAGGTACTGGCACTGCACCTGCTGTTCCGTGGAGCAGACAGCAAGGCCCTGCATTTGCAGCTGGCTAACCAGGTACCCCAAACTTACCTTGTACAGGCAGCAGACAGGCCTGCCCTGGCAGCACCCAAAGCACATGAGAGACAAAGATGTGCAGGGAGCCACATTTCACCCAGCAGTTCTTGCCACAAGCTCCTCCCAGCCTGGGAAAGGAGCCTTGGGCTTCTGAGTCTCCTCTGCCTGCCTCAGTCCAGTGTACAAGGTCCCCCAGGCAAGGCACATGGCTGGAGACTGCAGGGGGCACTGCTGACTGATACCCACACTGGGAGCTGGGCAGCTGCAGAGCTGAGGACCCCTCAAGGAGTCCTGTCAGGAAAGGCTGCGGCCTCCCTCGGTCTCTTCTTGGCCAACACAAACACAGCATTGACAGGACACTGCCCAGAGGGCTGGAGCTGACCAGGAACCTGTTCTACCCAGTGTGGCAAAGGCAGGAAACCAGCCTGCTCCCTGGGTAGGGGCCAGAGTGAGTGAGGAAAAAGAACACCCTAACACACAGCCCAGTTCCCCAGTGCCCCATTCAGTTTAGGGGCTCTGTAGTAGAAAACAGATTTTCCCCCCTTCTTTTGCAAAAGTTTCCATGTAGAAGTAACACAATGTATGCGATCTGTGACATCAGGGAAAGGGGGTGGATGTTTGAGCTCTGCTCCAAAAGAGCCCATGTGTTTCTGGGCTCTCATCCACCTCAGGCTATAGAGTAGAAGCTCTTATTCTTACCCCAAGCGTGAAGTATGCAAGTGGAGGGGCAGGCATGAAGCACACACAGTATGCCAATTGTGTGTGTGTGAGGCCCAAAACACGAGAGACAGTGTGAGTGTGTGTGTGTGTGTGTGTGTGTGTGTGTGTGCACGCACATGCGCTCAAATGCTCATATGCATACACATAAAAACACATTTTTCTGGCAAGTGCAACCACAGCTTCCCAAGATTCACCAAAAGGCCTGTGACCCAGAAAACATTAAGTGCCATAGTAAGGAGTTTAAAAATAACCCTGAAACAATACCAAATGTACCCAGAGACCAACAGTCATCGTTAGAGCCAAGGGTCACCGGGCCCAGGTTTTGAGGCGGCCCCTACATCTAGACAGCATGCCATGTGCTAAAGCATAGAGACCCCCACGGCAAGGAGAAGACTGAGGGGCAGGACAGCAGAGAACACCTCCCAAACCAAGACTGGCCCAAGCGCAGAGCAGTGGCCCACACCCAGGGCTGCCCAGCTCCACCCAAGACTCCTCCCATCCTGGTGTAAGCCTACAAAGAAGATGCCACCCAAGTCACCCACCAGGCCACAGGCCAGCACCACTGAGGACCTCAGCACCATGGGACAGGTCACCGCCTTCACTTGGCAGATGAGGACCTGGGTGCAGAAGCGAAGCCTGTGATTCTAGGTCTACCACCAGCACGTGAGTGACCCCAGCCTTATGTTATTGCTCTTTCTCCCTAGCACAGCATGCCTGGGGTCCTTCTCAGAGACACACGAATCCATTATTGCAAAACAGGATTTTCTCCTAGGTGAACACCCCTTCCCTACTCTCTACAGACCCTGGAGATACAGTATCAGCCCAACCCAACCAACCTGCTCTTGTTTGTCCCTACCACAGTCTAGGTAACTAGAAGGAGGAAACAGTAATGCCACCTTCACTCAGTCATGTGAGGGTCAAAGCAGACCAGGGAGGCAGAGAAGGGCTGGAGAATCCTAAGGGCCAGCTTGGAGCTCCACACAGGAAGAGGACAAGGCTGGGCTGCCCAGTGGCTGCACAACGTTGGGGGGGGGGGCTCATCCTACCCGAAGCCAATCAACTGCAGGGCAGCAGCAGCAGAGCTGGGCGACACCACATCAGGAAAGGAAATGCTACCACATGTTTGGGGTTCTTATTTTGGATCATTTGCCACCTCTGTATAAAGCATTCTGTCTAGACAACCCAAAAGAAAGAGAGCTCTAACCATTTGCCAGAATTCTGCCCTGGTCCTATACTAGCATCTTCGCCTCTGTTCCACAGTGGAGAAAATGCAGGTGCTTTCTAAACAGCTGAAGTAGACCCCAGGCCAGATGGTGGCCTCTGTCCCTCAGAATTACTCTCTCTGGTTAGAGATGGAACTTGAAGCCCATTGTCAAAGCCACTTGCCCCAGGTCACACAAGAGACTGGAGCTCTGAAATGCGCTCATTCGGTATTCCTTGTCTACCACCAACTGTGCAGGCCATACGTGGCTCTGTCCTCTGTCCTGCTACAACCTATGTGAACTAAATCGAGACTGCTCCCAAAATGTCCTCTCCTGGAGACAGGGCCGGTGCCAGCTTTACACTCGAGACCGCTGGGGCTGGGCTGCTGCGCAGAAGCAAGGTTCTGCTTTTCCGGCCCAGATGCTTCACAAAGCATCCCTTCCCTCCCTGCTGCCCCAGGAGTCTGACCCAAATGGTCCAAGGCTCCCTCAACACAACCACGGTGGGCACGGCCCATCCCCTGAGCTCCGGCCGGAAGACACAACCCCAACCCCTCTGCTGAGAGGATCTCCTTGCTGTCCTTCAAAGCCGTCCCTCCCCCTCAGCCCTGCCTGGCCCTGCAGGCCTCCCAGCAACCTGTTTGCGAGCCTGTCCCAGCCTCTGGCCCCCTCAGGTTTCCTCTTGGTTTGCAGGCTCAGCCACAGGATCATCTAATACACAAATGAACCACACAAGTCCTTGGCTCCAGGTAACCCGTTCCCTGGCCTGTGCTAAGCGTGCAGATACACGTAGCTCTGGGGCTTCCAAGAGCGAGGCCGCAAGGCCCTCCTCCGTAGGATCGGTTCCTGCCCCTTTGCTATCTAACTCCTACTGATCCCTCAAGACCCAGCCTGTCTTGAGCCAGACCCTAGAACACCTGAGGTTTCCTGGATGGGCCTCATCCTGCAGCAAGCCTTCGTGCCTGACACCCCTCAGTGCAGCCTCCTCACTGACCTCTATCCTTGGGCCTGGCACAGGGATGCGGGACAGATGGCCCAGGCCTGCTCAGTTTCTGCTGCTGGCAGTTCATAGCCAGTCTCGGGTTTTCAGAAGATTCCTGGGGTCACTAAGGAGGAAATGCTACTTTGCAGTTGAGGTTTCCTATGCCTCTGAGAAATACCCTAGAATTCTGAGCTTGAAAAAAAGAGCAGCACCAGGCTGGTGGCACCTCAGAGAAGCACGTGGCCCAGTCCTCCCAAGACGGACCACCAGGCAGATAGCGCCTGCAGGGAGGGCAGGGTGGCACAGGGCAGGGCAGGGCTGGCCCAGGAGACACTAAGCACACTGGCTGGGGTGCTGAGGGTTTATGTCTGTAGCGAGCTGCTCCTACACACCTCTGAACCAGCAAACCAGAGCCCCGCCTGCCTTACAGAGCTGCTTAGCATCCCAACCTGAGGTTCTGCAGCTGCCTACTGGAGTCCTCGAAGCCACAGCACATCTACATGCCACCACCCCACCTGTCCTTCCTGCTCACTGGGGGAATAGCCACCATGAGCATTTATCACACACAGATATGAAGGGTGGGTCCTAAGCCAGCCACCTGAGGCTTTTCACAGCACAGTCCCTGGCCCTCTGCCTGTCTCAACTGCTCACAGGCAACTTCTGCTTGACTACAGTACCAGGAGCTACTTCCTGTTTTACAGATAAAACCCTACTTCCTGCATCTAACCCTGCTATTCCTGGCCTGCACTGCCACGCCCTTTTCTACCTGACAACACCTACTCCTCCTTTCAGACTCCACCAGGACACCCACCTCCCAGAACAGTGACAACCACACCTCTCCCACCTTGGTGCTCCTGTGAAGCGCCTGCCACACAAACCCCCAGGACAGCCTGGGGCACTGCACAGTCCCTCTGGAAAGATATGGCCAGAGAAGGCAGGTCTGTGCAGAGCAGAAAGGATGAGATATGAAAAGAAACCCACAAACAGGAGGCATGATTACCAAAGGCCTAGCCCCCATAAGCGAGGGCTGGACTGTCAGCCCCCAGAGGCAAAAAGCGCCCCACAAGGCAGCACCTACCCTGGCACCCACTGGAGCCTACTTACACTGGTCAAAGATGACTTTTTCCTGGTGCTTGCTCTGCTGCAAAAGCTTCACCGTGTTTTGCAACTTGTTCTCTTGTTCAAACAGTTTTTTATGTAGTTTAGTGATCTCTGCTTTCATTTCTCTTATCTGAAAGAAAAGGAATTCAAAAAGTGAACTAACAACATAAAACATGAGGAAGGAACACAGCAAGCTTGAGCCCAGCCTGGGCAACTTAGCAAGCAACTTAGGGAAACCCTGTCACAAAATAATTAAGGCAGGGAGTGCTGGGGTTGCTGCTCAGTACAAAAGTCCTGGGTTCAACCTCCAGTACCACACTCATAAGAACTACAAAATCATGTCAAAATATGTTCAACCTCACCAATAAAGACTTATTTTATTTATTTTTGGGTACTCAGAATCAAACTCAGAACCTTGCACTTGCCAGGCAGGAACTATGCCACTCAGCTATATCCCTAGCTCTAGCAAAGACATCTTAATAAAAACCAGAAGCCAGTTCCAACAGGAACTGGTTACTGCTTCTACTGACGGCTGACACTGGTGTCGTCTCCATGACACTACAATGTGAAAGTTGTGGGGTCAGGGAAATTTCCACTCAGATCTCAAAGGAGTCCTAGGAGGCCAGGCAAGGAGCCCTACAAAGGAAGCTGAGAGAGTGAAGCCAAAGACGAAGTGGACCCCATGAAGTTGGAGATGTCAGGCGTGCAGTAAGTCTGCTGAGGAAGACTGTAAGCAGTGACTGAAGCCAGCCCCAGAGACTTGTGGGCTGCAACCAACAAGGCCACAGGGGTCGGGCCGCCACACTGTTGGATATCGGCATGGAGCCACAGGACTTCGTGTTTGCCCCGCTAGGTTTTGGTCTTGCTTTGGTCTGATTCTTTTCTCTTTCATGCTTTCATTTAGAATGAGAATATTTACGTTGTACCACTGGATGTTAAGATTTTGTAATTTTTTTTTTTTTTTTTTTAAACATAGGTTCACAGCTAAAAAATTACCTTGAGAAGCTCAGCTTTGGACTTCTGGCAAAGCTGGAACTGTTGAGAATTTGGAAAACAAATTATCCCATTTCTGGATATACTCAGGATGGTTGTATTATATTAGGTGTCATTACGAACTTGATATTATCTTTAGAGATTAATTATGGTATAAGGAGATGTGTTTGAGTGTCAAATGCTCAAGGAGTGGACTGTGACAGTTAATCCTGAGTTATCGACTTCACTGGGTTAAGACATGCCTGTGAGATTACTAAAGCATATCTCTGGGTATGTGGGGCTGAGCCATGGGCCGTGGTACCACATACGGGCCTCACACACTCCTCTATGGCACTGCTCCCCTGCTCTGCTTCCGGCTCTGCCCTATCATGCTGTGCGGCCCTTGTGTCTCTGCCTTGGAGCCTGCTGACCATGTACTCCTGAAAATGTGAGTCAGGTCAAGTGTTTTCTTCTTCAGGCTCTATGTATATCTACAGTGCTACTTTAAGTTCATTTTCTAGATTCTACATACAAGAACATATGTGATTTTTGTCTGAATCAGGTTTATTTCACTAAATGTGATGATCTCCAGTTCCCTTCATTTTCCTGCAAATGACATGAGCTTGTTCTTTATGGATAATACCCAATTTGTATCACACTATCATTATTTTTTCTTTT